AGTGTCTTGGAATATGCACCTCTCTTCTGAAATAGGGAAGGCACTTCAGAGAGCTCGGCATGTATACGATAGCGTCTAATTAGTTAACAAACTACACTTCATCCGACGAAAGGAATGGTTGGGATAGGTTTTACGAGCCATAGGTTGGGGAGCAAAGAGATTACAGAACTGTGCTCATTCGTGGGAGCTGGGGTTTTCAGTATATGAAGGACGGGCGCTAGAAGCGAGGCTCAATAGGGCGATGGAGAAGAATTACACTCTCATACGACGGCAGGAGACGTGTGTCGGAGAGCAGGTGACATAGTTCGTTTTCAAATTGTCAATGGCTTATACAGTAAACCCAAATAGGCGTCCCGAGTCATTGGGTTATAACCAAAATTATGGGTAGGAAATCTTCCTTCAGTGAGGAAGGTAAAAAAATCGATTTTTTGGTAATCCTCGGAAAGCCGGAAATTACGACAATGCGCTGTGCCTTCGGGCTACTTGGATAGCAGACGGTAGGTCATTTTAGTGAAGCGAGGAGGCGGGCAGTCATTTCGGTGTAAAGAGAGCTCTTCAGGCTACTCCTTGTCTTCCTCTCGAAAATCGTATTCACCGGAATTTAGACCCAAGCCACCTGCCTGAATCTTCTGATATCAGCCCACTTGACGAACAGTGAGAATAAGATGCAGAAAAGTTTTATTATCGTTCTACACCTCCCTGTGTTACTTGGATGCAGCTACAATTCTCATTTGGATTAGTTAGACAATGTCTAAGTATTTGCTGCATAAAATAGGTTTAACTGAATACGACGAATTATATCAACGACAACCTGTATCAGTTAAACGACGGTCATGACTATTCTGAGAGTATTAAGGCGCAGAGGGGCTAGCACAAGTGATCATAGACTTTGGTGCTATAAGTCATTAAGCTGGGACTTCAGGGTGTCATATGGCAATCGTTGACACACAAATTCAGAAGGGTCTCGGACGCCGTTAGGGCGGTGCAATACGTATTCTTTAGTTAGCGATGGTAATATCCGCGGAAGCCGTTGAAGATATGACCACATTGACTCACTTTTCGAATCCGTGGAGGATTTTCTCGGAAACTCCAATTCACTACCTGATTATGTAAATGGATTTGTAACAAGGTGTTTCCTGCGATGTGTGCCATTAGTTGTTCATCCTTTCGGAAAAC